ACGGATAAAAGAGAACGTAAAAAAAAAAAACACTGACTAAATAAGGAAATTATTACACGTGTAAAACAAAAAAAAAAAAAGTGATGTAGAATTGACACTTGGTTTCCCCTTTTATATATATATATATATAGATGGTTTCTCCTTTCATGTATATACATACAGATGTGACCTGTTGATATTTGCGAGTCTGACAATAGTTATCCATGATTTAATGCATGTCAGTTTAGTGGTACAAAATTTATTTAGGGTAGTTGCCTTTTGTACAAATTAAACTAACCTCTTAAATGCGGCAAGGATTCTAGTTCTAGGTTTGAAAATCCACCGATCATTGTCTTATAAAAAGAATTATTAAGTGAACTTTAATTTTAATTAATTTAACATAAAAAATAATTATAAATTTAATCATAAAAAATAAAAATGTACTTTAATATTATAAAAAACTATAAATTATTATATAGAATATTAAGAAAAAAAATAAAATATAATAAAAAATGTAAATTTAAAATTAATTAAATAAAGAATCAAAAAAATTTTTAGAACTTAATAGATAAAAAAAACCTTAATTTTTAATTAATTAAATTATCATAAATTTTATTTAATTTAAATTATATTCTTATTTTTTCAAAAAAAATTTATTTTAATATTAAATATTTTCTTTACATTTGAAATCAACCTTTAAAATTCATATTATAAAAACAAATTTTTAACAAATAAAAGTTAAAGCGCCATATTACTAGATGCAACCGACCGACCCCCGGGGTCCTTCAGTGGATCCCTGGATAACCACGATGCATCCAGTACGTCCACCCTGTCAGGATTTCTTATCAGGCTCTTATTCTCATAAGCAAGAAGTGTACCTTGTGAAATGAAAAATGAGAACTTTTCAAACATCGGCGAACACAGGGAATCACGGAGGCTTTTTTGGGTAAGCCGGATATCACGCAGTCTTAAAACGTGATCATCAGGTAAGTTTGATGGTTTGAATTAATTCAATTATTGCGTTTGGGAGGAGTCATTTTTTTTCCACCCAAATCTCGTTGTTTGCCATTTGAATGTACAGCTATCTACAGACGTGTGGTCAAGCGATGAGCTAACATTCCTCATAGCAAAAGTAACAAACAAGTTGATGTGCAAATTGCTTCGCATGTAGTATGTTTGTTTGTGAGAAAACTGCTCTATGGTTTCCTAAGTATACTTGTTTGAGAGAAAACTGCCCCTTTGTTTCCTTGACCAGCTGCCATAAGTCATGGATTCTGGAAAACTGTTAATGAAAAAACTGCTCCTTTGTTTCCTCTTTTGGTTCTCTGTTTCAATTGACACCATAACACCAATCCACTCGGTTAAAGAAGGCAATATCATCGTCTCCGGTGGGAACGTTTTCGCTCTTGGATTCTTCAGGCCTGGCAGTTCAAGAAACCGTTATATCGGCATCTGGTACAACCAAGTTCCAGAACAGACAGTCGTATGGGTTGCAAACAGAGACAATCCTCTCAGTGACTCATCCGGGATTTTGTCAATCGACAATCAAGGAAACCTCGTTCTTCACCAAGGCAATCAAACACTACTCCCTCTCTGGTCGACCAATGTCTCCATCAGTGCAGGCTTCAAGAATAGCGTAGCACAACTGTTGGATTCTGGGAATCTTGTTCTGTTTCAGAATGATACTAAAAGGACTCTGCTGTGGCAGAGTTTTGATTATCCATCCAACACACAGCTTCCGTATATGAAACTGGGGTTGGACCTGAGAACCGGCCTTAATCGGTTCCTGACATCATGGAAGTCTCAAGATGACCCTGGAATTGGCGACTACTCCTTTAGGATGGACCCAAAAGGTTTCCCTCAGTTGTCCTTGTACAGCGGATCCGCGCGTTGGTGGCGCGCTGGGACGTGGACAGGGCGAAAATGGAGTGGAGTACCCCAAATGGATCAGAGTTATGTCATCATGAACGCTACCTTCATCAACAATGAGGATGAAGTATCCATTATGTGGGGTGTCACCGGTGCCTCCATCTTCACCAGGATGCTCGTGAATGAATCTGGAGTTCAAAGGTTTACATGGGATGCACAAGACAATCGTTGGATCGGGTTCTGGTCGGTTCCAAAGGAAGAGTGTGATTTTTACAAGCATTGCGGGCCAAATTCTAATTGTAACCCATACCCTGCTAACAAGTTCGAATGCACATGTTTACCAGGGTACGAACCCAGGTCGCCTCAGCAATGGTACCTAAGAGAGTCATCAGGTGGATGCATAAAGAAGCGTGATAACATATCCATGTGTCATAGTGGAGAGGGATTTGTGAAGGTACCACGTGTGAAGATACCAGATACATCGGTGGCACGCGCCGACCTGAACTTGGGGTTGAAACAGTGTGAAGAAATGTGCTTGGGTAATTGTTCTTGCATGGCTTATGCAAACGCATATTATCAGAAGGATGGAGGGACTGGTTGCTTGATGTGGCATGGTGATTTGGTGGATACCAGGACCTATATTGATGATGGACAAGATTTGTACGTAAGGGTTGATGCAGTTGAGCTAGGTGAGTCTATTTTCAGCTCTAGTCTCCGGTTAGGCATATACTGATTATGCATTTCTTTTGTATAGAAGGTGGACTTAATTAGTTTTAGTTGACAATTGATAAGGGTTGATACAGGAATTCGATTTAACATTCTTTCATGGTCCTTGAGTTTAACACTAAAAATCAAGATTCAGCACGTCTTAGGCTCTTAGCTAATGCACCTTAACAAATAATAACGGCTCTACATTTTAAGTTCTTGATTTTCTCTTTGTTTTAGCCCAATATGCTAAAAGGAAGGGTCCACTTGACAAGAATGGAATATTGGCAATTCTGATAGTTTCAATGGCTGCAATTCTTTTCTTGGTCGTGGTCACATGCTATTTGGTAAGGAGGAAAATAAAAGGTAATCCACTTTCTATATATGGGTTCTCTTTTTGGCCATACTTTCTACATATAGCATCATTAATTCATAGATTTTGTTTAATTTGTCATATTTCAGCTAAACCATAGAATATAATAGTAGGTTTTAGCATTACTTAAATTCTTAATGTTTCTGTACCAGGGACAAGAAGACAAAAGAATGATGGGTCGAGTTCATTGTTCTTGAAGGACTCTTTCAAAACAAATGATTTTGATGAAAATAGCAGTGCTGATTTGCCATTCTTTGATTTACGCACCATTGCTGCAGCTACAAATAACTTCTCTCCTGAGAATAAACTTGGAGAAGGTGGCTTTGGCCCTGTTTATAAGGTATATACTTTTGTCCTGAATAACTAGAGAGAATATGGCAAACCTAATGAGGTGGATTAATAGTTAAGAGGTTGAGATTCTAAGTTGGAGGTTTCAATTTCAAACTTTGAGTCAGGTGAAAAGGAATTTGAGAATAGAGGAGGGTTATCTCTCTTATATAATCTATAGTTAAATGTACCAAAAAAAAAAAAAAAAACCTAGAGAGAATATGGCAACACTTTCATATAACAAATTAAGGAAAATATGTAAATTGTTAATTAATTTTAGGGTAGATACTCACCGTAGCTTTTGATTTGTGAATAATGTTTTTAGGGTGTACTATTAAGTGGAAAAGAAATAGCAATCAAGAGATTATCGAGGTACTCGGGGCAAGGAATTGAAGAATTTAAGAATGAAATTACGTTAATTGCTAAACTTCAACACCGGAATCTTGTAAGAATCATAGGTTGCTGCATTGAAGATGAAGAGAAGATGTTAATTTATGAGTATCTGCCAAACAAAAGCTTGGACTCTTTTATTTTTGGTACGTTCTTGTTCTTTTTCTAGTAATTCTATATATCTGAACAAGAACTATACGATAAGTAGAGGATAATTGCTCCATTTCTCCATTGAATCCAGTTGAAACAAAAAAATCATTGCTAGATTGGAGAAAGCGGTTTGAAATTATATGTGGGATTGCTCGAGGAATCTTGTATCTTCATCATGACTCAAGGTTGAGAATTATTCATAGAGATCTCAAGGCTAGCAATGTTTTACTAGATGCTTCAATGAATCCCAAAATTTCTGATTTTGGGATGGTTAGAATTTTCGGAGGTGATCAAATTGAAGGAAATACTAAGCGCGTAGTTGGAACATAGTAAGTCAAATTTGCACATCAATACTTAAATCCCCCTAGACATATATGAAACTTGTCTTAACATTTTCTTTTTTTATAATATTTATTATTACAGTGGTTACATGTCTCCAGAGTATGCTATGGAAGGTCTATTTTCAATCAAGTCTGATGTATATAGTTTTGGAGTTCTACTATTAGAAATTATCAGCGGCAGAAAAATCAGTAGCCACTATGTTGATCAAAGCTCAACTTTAAATTTGATAGAACATGTAAGTATATAGTCAGAATGATGAATTCGAAAATGAAATGTTTTAAAGTCACATGATATCTTCCTTAAATGTGGGATCAATACCTTATTAATATGATGCATGTTAATTTCACAAGTATATAGGATACAAATTATAATTCTTTATTTTTTGCAGGTTTGGAACTTGTGGAAAGAAGGTAGGGCAATGGAGATAGTGGATTCATCCCTAGGGGAATACTCATCGTCTCTGGCGGATGAATTTTTGAGGTGCATCCAGATTGGGTTGCTGTGTGTGCAAGAATCCGCAGCGGACCGGCCGACAATGTCTACCGTTGTGTCCGCGTTGGGCAATGATAAAGCGGTCCTTCCTCCTCCAAACCAGCCTGCATTTGTGGTGAAGAAGGCACACAATGTTGATGCAAGCGGGGGCACTGGCTCCAATAATGAGGTGACTCTTACTCTGGTTCAACCTCGTTAGAGGTTCTTAATAAAAAAAGTACGTACCACAAATATTTTTGTTTATATATACCTGACATAATATATATCAATTTCAACTACTAAAATTTTTAGGAGCTTTACAATTCAAACAATATATTAATTTCGGATGCTTAGCTCAGGTTGTAGAAATTAGCATATTTCTACAATTCTACTTGTATATTCAATTTACGGCCATGTACTTTTATCTATTTATCTTTTTTTTGGAGGTACTTGTGTATTTATTGGTTTGTAAACGTGAGCAAGACATGTAATTGTAGTTTAATTTTGAGTTCTTAAATATCAAGTAACTATGTTTATTAATTGTAATGAAAATGTAACATTAGGTCATATTGTAAGATTTTATTTTAACTATATATAAAGGGTTAAACCCCACTTTGATCCCTCAACTATTATATGGAATTTTGATTGAGTCCCTCAACTCAAAAACTTTTCAATTTGGTCCTCACTATTTTCGTTTTGGCCCCAAGTTGGTCGTTCTGTTAAATTTTCTACTACATGTCTTGTAACTTGATGGGAGAAAGATGATATGTAAAAATATTTCAACACATAAGATGTAAAGTATGGTGAAAACAATGAAGTGACAAGGAAAAACCTTTAAAAATTCCTTTTTCTTTTTTTTTTTTCTTCCTTTATTTTTCCTTTTTCCCTTTCTTCTTCCTCTCCCTTTCCTTTCACCTTTTGCAAACCCTAGCATCTTCTAACATCAAATCCATTCATAACACAAACATAAACCTAGAATCTCTCCAAAATAGTCACAACCTTAAATTCTCTCTCTTAGCTTCTCAAAAAACCTAGAAAAATCAAGACATTTTCTCCCAAATTTCTATAAATACCCAACTAAAACATCTAAAACAAAGACCAAAAATCAAATAATAAGAAGAAAATTCCAAACCAATCAAAATCCATGTCTGCAACTATTTATATTATCAATTTCCAGTGGGATTTTTAGGCCTCTATCTATCACTTCACAATTGA